AATTAAGATTAATATATATTAAAATAAGTAAGTAAATATGTGAATCAAAATAAAATAATTATAAAGTATTTTAAATAAATTTGTTTTAAAATAAAAAAATGGTTTACTAACATTAAACAATTTTAATCAACATCAAAAATATGTTATAAATATATAAAATATAAGATATAATTAAACAAATTTATTTAAATGAGTTGCAAACACAAACAAGCTAAAATTAAAAAATTTATTTAACCATCTTAATTAAATTGATGTATTAGAATGCTATGATCAGTGGTTTGTAGTGATGTAATGATCAGTGGTATATAGTCGAATGTAATGATCAATCAAGCAAGGCTGTGTTTGTAATGCATGTGTGTAAAAAATAAAGCAATAAAAATAAAGTAAACCTAAGAGTTTTTAAATTAAAAAATTTCTTTTCTTCAAGTTTCTCTACTTATTTTTTTTTAATAGGCCCAGCAGAGCGTCTTTTTTCTGTTGAATTTTATCAACTTGTACATTCTGCTCTCAAAGAAGATGGAATACTATCAGCTCAAGGTATGTAATAACATTAAATTTTGATTTAGTTCTTCAACTTCAATAATTTTTTTTTTAAACTAGCAGGGGATTCATTGATCAAAAAAAGGATTTGTTTTTTGTATAGTATTGAGATTTTTTTTAATTAGTTCTATTTTGTACACATTCCATTTTCAGAATTTCACATAAAGTAAAAAAAACACATGAGGAAATAACACATTTGTCATTGACAGCTAGGCCTAGAACACATATATAATTGCCAAATACTTTACTGAAAAATATAATTCATAATAAAGAAATAAAGTGTGTACAAGAAATAAATGTGAAAGAGTAAATCATTTTTTTGCTGTGGTTGTATTAATATATTTTTAATTGTGTTTGTATTTTGTTGGCAACATGTAACAATTTCAAAAAAAAAAAAAATTTTTTTCCCATTTAACTTAAAATAAGTTTTAAAAATGACAAAAAAAGAAGACATCAGACATAAGACATTAATTTTGTTTTTCAAGCTTTCAAATCACAAAAAGTGCCTAACCATTCTGAAATTCAAAAAAAAAAAGTGCAAGAACACTCTGAAGAAAGTTGTATGACAAGTATATTTCTAAAAATTTCTGAATTATTGAAGATGATGAAACTTATATGAAGCACGATCATCAGCAAATTCCTGGTATTGTCTATTATAATGCACAAAATAGAGGTAAAGCAAATGAGAAATTTAAATACACAAAACATGAGAGTTTTCCAAAAAAAGCCTTGATTTGGCAAGCTATTTGGAGGTATTACAAAAAATTATCACAATTCTGGCTCCACGTTTTCTGTTAAAATATTTGTTAAAGAGTGTTTACAAAATTGTCTTTTACCTTTTACTAAATCACATGTTAATAGAAACATGTTCAGGTTTGATTTATTGTCAATTTATTATAGCAAACTGTCTATGAGATGTTAAACAAAATGTGAAAGTTATTTCTAAAATAGAAAATCTTCTAAACTATTCAGAATTGAACATTATTGCAAAGTAATGGGTAAATCAAAAAATGTAAAAAAAATGAAAAAACTATGCAGAAACATTAAAGATTTAAAAATATCATTTAAAAAGCATGAAATAGTTTTGATTGTTGTTCTGTGCACAAGCATGTGGGTACCACCAAAACAAAAATATTTTATCTTCTTTTATTATTGTATTAAAATTAATACTTAATAAGTTCTAAATAAAAGTTGATGAGTACCTTTTTTAAGTTGATTTTCTACTTTCACACTTATTTTGTGTATACACTTTATAAGTGTTATGGGTATTGTAATGAATTTAAACAATGTAGCATTGAAATTATTCCAAAAGTATATGGATGTTATTAGGTATGAATCTGTAAATTGTCACTTTGGAAATGCTAAAAGGAAATACAAGACAACAATAATTGCCTTTAGGTCTTATGAACAAAATAAAGTGCTTTAGAATTTTCTTTTTTTTCTTGTGTCTATTTAAACCTATACTAAAAATAATTTAAAAAAAAACAAAAAAACAAACAAGTTATTGGTAACTGGTCACAAGTAACTAGGCCGATTTCCATACTTATTTATATTATTTATTATATTTTATTTTATTTCATTAGTTTATTTATCAGCGTATTTATATATGTTTCATATTTGCAATAAAATATTTTATATTTGTAAATACCAAATTTGTAATAAAATAAAAGTCAAAAGATTATCAAATTGTTACAAATTTTTTAAAGGGCCATACTACAGACCAGATTACAGACTAATAAGATAAATATTGTATTTACAATTGGTAGGAAATTTCTACCTTCGCAATTAATTTATCTGAGAAAGACACTAAAAATTGAAAAATCATCTAAAAATTAAAAAAAAAAAGTTCTAAAAAAGTGCCTGCATGACATTCAGCTTAGCTTTACAGAACCTTTTATTCCTTGGAAAAAGCAAAATCCTTAGGAAGGAACAAAGAATGGATTTGGGAAGGAACGAAGAACGGATTTGTGAAGGAACTGTTCTACATTTTCATCAATCCTTATAAGGGAAATCTGCTAAAATGGAAAAAAATTGATTAACATGGTTTCATTATCCAAAGTACTAAGAAATACAATTTATTTTTTCAAAAAAAAAAAAGAAAAAAAAAGAGATGTATTTTGTAGGTGATGTATTTTATTAAAAGAGATGTATTTTGTAGATGTATTTCTCTATAAATCTCAAATCCAGCCTTGTATGGAATACTATTGCCATATCTGGGGCGGATCTTCTAATGATGCCCTTTCTCTTTTAGACAAGGTGCAAAAACGCATTGTAAACATAGTTGGACCTGCTCTTCCAGCCAACCTTCAACCTCTGTCACATCGTCGTAATGTTGCTCCTCTTTCTCTTTTCTACAAATACTATAATGGCTACTGCTCTAAAGAGCTAACGTCTCTTGTGCCATCTACTAAAATTCATTCTCGTGTTACTCGTCATTTAATTAAGTCTCATCCTTTTTTTGTTACTGTTCCTAAGTGCTCCAAAAACTCTTATTCGTCTAGTTTTTTTTCCTCAAACATCAGTTCTTTGGAATTCGCTTTCTTCATCTTGCTTTCCTGATTCATATAATTTGCAATCTTTTAAGTCATCTGTCAATCGTCATCTTGCTCTTCAATCTTCATCTTTTCTCTTCCAGTAACTTCCAACACTAATTAGTTGTTGCTTGCAGCCTTGTTTGAAGCAAAGATAATAAAAAAAAAAAAAAAGGTGGCATGTTTCTTTTAAAAGTTGTAGTTTAATATTTGACTCATCTTGATAAAAACATTTAGGAGAATCAATGTTTATACATATGGAGTTGATAAAAAGTCTTATGGAATTTTGTAATAATTTGTTTGAAAAAGCATCATATGCAAGTACCTATGTTCCTACATACCCATGTGGTCAAATTGGTTTTCTTTTGGCATCAAAAAATAAGGTAGTTATAATTTATAATTTATACCTTTTTTTGTTGTTAAGCATACAAAAAAATTCTTTATATATTTATATTATTATTATCAAGTTGTTTATGCATTTTATATTATTATCAAGTTGTTTATGCATTTAATCATTATTTTAGAACACTGATTTTGAAAATCCATTGACAGTATTTACAGAGGAAGAAAAAGAGTCTATGAAACTACGTTATTATGACGAACATCTTCACAAAAATGCATTTGTCCTTCCAAGATTTGTTAAAAAGGTATTTAATTTAACATGCTGCACTATATTATATGCAAGCGGTGTTTAAGAAATTAACGCCTTTAATCTATGTATACTAATATATATATGTATAAGTATAGTTATACTTTATATAAATATTAAATTTATTACTGTTAATTTTTTTTTTTTCAAAAATACAGTAATAAACTTTATATTTATATAAAGTATAACTATTTTCTAATATAAAATACACAAAACAATAATATAAATATTTATTAACAGAAATCCTCAATATTTTGTTGATCCTCTCTCATTTTTTATCACTGCACAAAGTCAATTCTGCATACTATTAACACTGCATAAAAGACAATTTAAAGCTATTTCTTTCATATGTTCATTATGATTTTAATTTTAACAACTTTTTCAATCCATTGAGTCCTGTTTTGAGTTTTCTTTAATAACTCACATAAATTTTGTCTAATAGTAGAATTTTTTAGTAATAGTTTTTTAATAAATTTAGCAGTGTGACATGAGGCTTCATCTTGCTTAAATATTTTTTTTTTAAATAGTTTTTGCTAAACTCAGTAATAATTTTTATTTCAGTTTTGTTAAAGTAATTGCTAAACTCAGTTTTAGTATTAATTTATAGTACTTATTGAAAATAACTTTGGCTGTAGCTAGTTTAGAAAAGAAAAATGTCTTTTATGAAATAAAACGTCCTTAATAAGAATAATTTAATATTAAAATCTATTTTTTATTTTTGAAACTCCTTGAAAAAATCTCTTTGCCTTAATCACGCCTCTTTGCCTTAATAGATTGTTTTCATTAAACAAAAGATTATATTGACAAAATACTATGTATTGTTTGGTGATATTTAAAATTTGGTTGATGATGATATAGACGAAGAAATACGGTTCAAAATTTGGAATATTGTTTTTTTTTTTTTAAGGTAAATTGATCTTTGATAAATTATTTAATAGGCGGGTTTAGGATTACCCCTACTTCAATGGTCTACTAAAATTACCCCTGCCACTAATATTGAAAATTGATGTTTTTTATAATTATTAGGCAAATAAAATTAACGATGTTATTTTTAAATTATTACTTCGAGTAGTCAATAAATCAGTTAATCTAGTTACTTTACTTAAGAGTCGTTCATAAAATACGTACACCAAAGATTTAAAAATTTGACCTCCTCCTCCCCTCTCATTGCCATGCGTACTTTTAAATCACCCCTTTCCCCCTCCTCCCTCTAAAAAGTACACACTTTTTGAAATACCCTTTCCCTCCTTTCTTCTATTAATTAAATGTTTTAATTTAAAAAAAAATTGTATAACCAAAAAAATATTTTTTAAATTAGAGTGTGCGTCTTTAAAAGTTGAATATACCCCCTCCCCATTGTTTTATTGAACCCTTACTGCAGATCCCTCTTCCCCTTAATCTTCCTTAGATACTTTATTCAATGTCAAGGCCCTTAACTCTGGCACCAGACCTCAATTTTGAAGACATATGTCTTTAAATATACAATACAAATGTAACAATGTTTACAGGCTGCACAGTGGGGCAGAATTGCTTCAAACCTGAACATTTGGGGCTGTCCATAAACGACATCATGCATCTAGAGGAGGGAGGGGTCCATACTTTTGTGACGATCTGTGACATTGGGGGGGGGGGGATTGGAGAAATGTGACGTCACAAAAAAATTTAGTATAATAAAATATTTTTATAATAATAATAATAATAATAATAGTTTTTTTCGTTTAAAAAGTAATATATATATATATATATATAATTTACTTTTTAAACGAAATACTAAGAGTTCTTTTGTTAGACTTAACGCACTCAAGCATTAAGTAGTGACAATTAACATAAAAAAAACAAAATAAATTAAATATAAAAGGTTATTTACAAGTATCTATTTAAATGTAAGTATTCAAAATTTCTCGACTACATTTAAAATTTATTTTCCCAAATAATTTTTAGGCGCATTTGATTTGTAAACTCCAAAAAATTATTTTCATAGAATTAACTTCCGTAATATGGATAAAAATAAAGTATATCAGCGTCTTTTTGACGCCTACGTTTCAGCATATCCTACAAAGAGCAGATAGGCCTGTCAAGAAGAACTGATTCAGAAGTGGAATGAAATAAAAGTTGATAAAAATTTTCAAATCAAAGCGAATCATTGGTTGCAAGAACTAATCACTCTCTCCACAAGCAAAAAAGGAACACTCCTAATATTTTGGGCTAAAAAAACATTATCTACTAAAAAACCCTCAACCATAAATGTGTATAAAAATCTTCCAACTTCAAATTTGCAGTCTGATAAAAATGGTACCAGCATTGTTACTGAAGGGTTAGAACCCGGACCTAGTACTACCCGCTCAGAAACATCAAGAATTGCGCCAGCCCAACTGCAATTGCAGACGCAGATTGAAGTTCTGAATTCTGATTTAGTCGATTTGTACGAGCAACAAAAAAGTGGAATGCTTTCACTTGAACAAGATGCTAAATTGAATGAAAAGAAAAAAAAAAAGCCAATTTAGAACAGCAATTGAATAAAAAAAAAGGTGACTAGAAAAGAGCAAAAAAAGCAAGAGAATCGAAGAGAAGAAAATTTGAATCTTTGTTTGAAGATAATCCAGAACTACGCATAAATCTGAATGTCAGAGACAAGCCTGGTAGGCCAAGAATTGAACAAAATCAGCCTTTACTACTTGAAACTATTGTGAACATTGCTATGCATGGATCAGCATCTCATGAAAAACAAAATAGTGATGTATATAGAAGCATCAAAACATTAGACCAACTGGCTGAACAGTTGAAAATGGATGGCTTCACAATCAGTAGAAGCGGGCTTTATCTTCGTCTCTTACCAAAGCGTAGTTCATCTCTTGAAGGCCAGTGTCATGTATCAATGGTACCAGTAACATTAATTAGAGCGCAGAACGATCAGCACGCTAAACATATCGACGGTTTATTTTCTTACTGCTACAATAAGGCACTTGGAAAAGTTAGCTTCCATGTTAGGAATGAATGAAGAGTGTTTTTTGAGTCAAGATGATAAAGCTTGTGTTCCAATTGGGTTAACTGCTGAAAAAACAAAGTTCATTACTGATGCATGTCGAGTACAGAGTCAGCTTACCTGACCATGATTGGGCAGTGGCTGCAGGGCACAAATTAATTCCATCGGTGTATACTGGATTAATTCAGCCAAATGGTCTTGGAAACCGAGAAGCAGTAGAATATTCCGGACCAACCTATATAGCAATCAGATCAGGTAAACACTCAAACCACACTTGCTGAACGTCAGGCTTGGTTATCGATAATTTCCCAACAGTGGCAGAGTACATTGAGTCCACATTGAGTCTGAGTTACAAGAACAACTCCTCTTGTCGAGGGATCAGAAATGGTATGATATTCATATACGAACAAGCCAATATCTTACACAGATTGTAAAATGTAATGACAATAAGTGCTGTTTGAAACCAAGAAGTTCCTATTTTAGTGTGGTAATAGTCAGGTTCATTTCTTGTCCATTGCCAGTTGTTCAAACAAGCGAAGATCTTAAAGTTCCAGAATGAACAACGGACCCAGCATGCCATCAATTTCATCAATTTGCATCAATAGTCATGCTGCACAGTCATAGTGTAAAAAACATCCAAGAATCGACCGTTCCATCCGTAATTAGACCTCAAAGAGTCATTGCACGTCGACAGCAAGAAATAATGGCTCTGATCGCTAATGTAGAAAACGGTGAAAGTGACGATTGGATTGATGAAGAGGATCTTGATTTAAATGGAATGACTTTTCCCAAGGATACTGGTATCAACGCTCTCCCAGTTTATTCCATAAAGGAACATTTTTATTCACCATGAGAAAATAATTTTTGCTAATTTTTTAATTTCAGCAATGTTTCATGTTTTATTTGTTAGAATTGGATCAAATAAGATCTAATTACTTTAAATATTTAATTGTGTTAAAAAAGTTGTATTTATTTGTTAAAATTGTTTTAAAGTTCATTATATTCAATTATTTCATTTAAAATGCAAAATATATGGGAGATAATAGTTTCTTTATAGTAGTAAGATAAAAAAAGTTACAATTACTATTATATTGAACTATAATATACTACAATTGAACAAAATTTTGAAAGTATTATACTTTTATAATTACTCATGAATAATTGATAATAATTTAATAATGATAAAGATAATAATAATTTCCTTTATTATCGCTGCCCTTTGTAATTTTCCCATTAAACATACATACATGACAATTTTGAAAAAAATTTTATATTTAACAATGGAATAATGCGATATCTATGCAAGAGAGGGGGGGTCAGTTTTTTGTGACGTAATATTCTAGGGGGAGTCAAACTTTTGTGGCGTCTTGTGACGAGGGGGAGGGGGTCAGAAATTTTAATAAATTGCGTGACGTGGTTTATGGACAACCCCTTTGACAAAAATGAAAAAAGGTATTATGAAATATTTTTTGATAGTAATGTAACAAAAAGTCTCTAATCCATCTTATCCATGTCTTTTTTTAGGGTTGGACTGACCTTTAACCCTGTAGAACCTATCAAGTTCTCTAGCAATCTAGTTCAATTCTTTTGTTTAAAAAATAACTTGCTTGCAAGATTTATTAGAACTGCATTGTTTTTGTAGTGTTAAAGCTGAAGTGAGGTCAGGTTATCCTGCTACTGTTAACATGTAACCCAGTACAATCTGCTTAATGTCCTGCTACCTTGTAGAATACGCCTTTTTAGGCAAAGGTTAGGAGATGCCAACTCCAACATAAAACATCACCTTGGGCCTTGGGGCTCTTGGTTGAGTAAAGGGTAGAGATGGTGTCTTGATAAAAATACTCATCTGGGCAGATGTTAAATGCATCCGGCTGCTGTCTTGTAGTAGGCCTTCTAGGCAAAGACTTAAGGGGTAAACAGATTCTATCTGTTGACCAGCCTCGCACCCCTTCTTCATCTATTAGGCTGGCGCAGATGTATTTTTAATACATTGTTTCCAGTTTATGATGTTGAATGCTGGATCTTCTTGACTCGATACATGGGTTTTGCTTGTGTTTTTATGACTAGGCAACTCATTCTATTATCTTCTAATGAGGGTACAGCTATAAAACTCAGTTTTATGGTTTTGAGGCCAGCTGGTAGTCAGGTTTCCGGAACTCTGTGGTAGCTCTCAGAGAAGCTGATTCTATCAACAGCTGAAAAATATCAAAGTATTAACAGTGCCATATTGCGCATGGATGGTGTCCCTGTTGGTACTTTTGGTGTGCATTGCCAAGGTTACATTGGAGCCCTTTGTTAGGGCTTAGGGTTTATTAATAGTAATGAGGCAATTGCTTGGGCTATTAAACAGTGTACTGAGTACTATCTATGTTTCGAGTCAAATTCTTTAACAAATTTAAAAATGAATAAAGTACCAAAAACTATAAAACACAAAAAACCATTGTCATCACCAAGTTTGCTAAACCTATCATTCACTAATATTCGTGGTCTTTGAAGTAACTTTTCTTCTGTTGAGTCTTATCTCTTGCAAAGTTCACCAGACCTACTTGCTCTTTATGAGACTAATTTGAGTTCAGCTGTCTCACCTTGTGAGATAGTGTTAATGGTTATCTTCCTTTAATTCATGAAGACTCCAATAATCACATGCTTGGCCTAAGCATTTACATTCGTAAGAATTCACCCATTTGTCGGGAAACTAGGTTTGAATCCACAGACTACTCCTTTATTTGCTTTTGTTTAGCACCACTTCACTCTATCGCCTTTCTCTTTGTTCTCTATCGCTCTCTTTTATCTTAAGACTGCACTCTTCTTGATGTTATTTCTGATCATGCCAATATTGTTGTTGTTGGTGACTTTAATGCTCAGCACACTGAATTGCTTGGCTCTAGTGTCAGTGACTCTGCAGGCATTAAAGCCCACAACTTTAGCCTTTCTCAATCCCAAACTCAAATAGTCAACTTTCCAACTCGCTTTCCAGACAACCCGAATCATTTACCTTTCTCTACTCGACTTATGTCTTCTTTCTGATCCTAGTTAGTGCTCAGTTTCTCCACATTTACCCTTAGGTGCCTCTGATTACAGTTTGATCTCTCTAAAACTTTTATCTCATTCTTCTTTATCATCAAAATCCCCCTATCATCATACATCTTACAACTACCTTAAAGCTGACTGGAACTCTTTGTGTGATTTTCTTTGTGATGGCCCTTGGGTATATATCTTTTGTCTTCCTGTTGACAAATGTGCTTCTTATATAACTTTGTGGATTCAGGCTGGCATGGAATCCTTTATTCCCTCTTGACGATTCCAGGTCAAGCCTCACTCTTCTCCATGTTTTTCCTCACATTGTGCTGCTGCAATTGCGAATCGAAACCATTACTTCCATATCTATTAGCAAAACATTTTTCCAGAAAACAGATGTCTGTTTATTACTGCTAGGAAGCATTGTAAAAAGGTTTTGTCTAACGAGTACTTTGTAACGAGTACATTAAATTTGTTTTAATGACGAAACAAATAAAAGTAAACTTTACTTACAGCATGCGTTTTTTTCAGGCACCCCTCTTAAGTAAGTCCGTAAAAAAGCGAGTCTTACGGGAGATGAGTAACATCATGGAAGTATAAAACAGATTTTAACAGATATAAAACAGAAAACAAGTTCAACAGCATTGAAATTCTTCGGGACTATGCTTGAAACCTTTTGTTTTGTAAACAATAAGAAAACGACATTAAGACTGTACATAAACGCTTAATCTTTATACGTTGACGCAAATAGGTACGTTTAAAATAATTTAAAAATATAGTATATTGAAGGTTGGCCAATAATATTAAAAAAAAAACATTAAAAATGGCGCAACGAAACGGCAAACAACAACTTTTTCATAAACTTCATATTAAATGAATAGAGTAGGGGAGAGTCGGGTAGCCCCGGACACTTCAGGAAAATATAGATTGTACACATGTGCTAACATAAAACAAAGTGTCAAATGACTTTAAAAGTTCAATCATTCATCTATCGAATTAGAAACAAAAAAATAATTATTGTGTATCTTAATAATATACAAAACATAAAAGAAAAAATGTTAGAAAAACGGCATGTTTCAAAATTAGAGGGTAGCCCTGGACACATAGTTTAAACATGATTTTTCCTCTTTTTTTACCAGTGTGACACAAATGTAATATATAATAATTTAGCATTGGACTGTTCTCGACACATTTTCAAAAAAATCGCCTTTCAAAATTGCCACCGATATATAAGGAATGAGAATGAAAATGTCATCATTTAAAAATATAAACATAGGTTTTTTTATAATGGAAATAAACCCTTAAAAACACTTTTTTCAAATCTAATGTTTTTTTTTTATTGGAATTAAATGAATTACTGTTATAGGTTTATGTATTATATTAAATGTATTAATATTTATATAAAAATAGTTGTTTATTATTATTATGTAAACGAATTAAGTTGTCCGGAGCCACCCTCCAATCATGTGTCCGATACCACCCGATCATACCTCATTCACAAATACTAGTTTTAAAACCAGTGAATTAAAGTTTAAACAAACTTTTTTTTTAATAACTATTGTAAATTAAAAATGCATCTTTAATCATTAAAAAGTTATTAGTTTACATAAAAATTAGGTATATTAATATGTGAATCCAATATGATGATACTTCGCTCTTCTGGTGGTGGGAAACAATATCTTCCCCTCCCAGTCATTCGCCTCGGCATATTATGATAGATATTTTGCATATGCCATATTTTCACTCAAATAATGTTATTATAGTATTAAAAGTCATATAGCTTCTTTAGTTTAAGCTGTACATCAAGTGTCCGGAGTTACCCGCCGTCCGGGGCTACCCGACTTTCCCCTACTGCAAGAATGGATTGAATTATAATATACATCTAATGAAACTTTTAATTTTAGTTATTTAGAAAACAATTTTTTTGATTTTTTAAAAATTGTTTTAGTTGTCTTTTTAATCAAATGTTGTGTTATGACTTGAAGCAAGAAAAGAAACTTAAACTAACATATGATTTTAAAATCACAAGTATATATTTAATTACCGAGTTTTAATAAACCTTTTGCTGAATAATTGCAATTACTAATGGTTAAAACTTTGCAGCATATCCCTAGAATAATTCATTTTTTGATGATTTCAGTGAATGTTGTTGTGTTTTTTTCCAGTGAAACTTTTTTTTTTATTGTCGGTTGCAAGCATACTCCCGAGACGACTTGAAATGGCTTTGATGTTTGCGGCTCGATGAACTTCCATCTGTTTTATACTTCTATGGTAATATTGAAATCATAGCCTAAAATCTGTTTTTTGCGGACTCAAAAAAATGTTTATTATAAAACTTTTAGTTATTTACAAGTACTTGTTAATTGTGATAAATTAGAAAAATAAACATTAGTAAAGATTTTTTTTTAATTTTAATTAGTGCGTACGTACTTTTATTAAACCATTATCTTTCCCCGTCCCCCTTCCATACGTTTTCGTAGGCTATTTGAAGACCTCTCCCCTATGAGCGTACGTAATTTATGGACGGCTCTTTAGTTATTATTTACTTCGTTGATATTTACTTAGTTATTATTTACTTGTGAATATTTTTAACGTAGTTAATTTTATAGTTTTTTTTTCAGGAATTAGAGAAATCAAAACGACTTCATTTGTTATCAATGACCAATAAGTGATCATTGGTCCTTGGGGTGTAACAGCTAATTAATAAAATCCTATAACATATTTATTTAAAAAAAGTATTTTTTAACTTTGTTATGAGAAATGCTTAACAGTTTCATTATTTATGAAGTCTTCTTTAAAATATATATGTATGCACACACACACACACACACACACACACACACACACACACACACACACACACACACACACACACACACACACACACACGCACACGCACACACACACACACACACATATATGTATGTATGTATGTATGTATATATATATATATATATATATATATATATATATATATATATATATATATATATATATATATATATATATACATGGGCTATTCTAGACCTTTTTTTGATAGCGCCGACCGTATTTAGGCGCCGATTTGGGCACTGCCCAAACTCAGAAATTGTAGCTCAGCCGCTGTAGTAAGCAGGTGCGATGGGGGTGTGACACTCCCCCGTCAATGATTTTTTCGTTCATTTAGTTGGCAAACTTGACCCTTTTTGACTAGTTAGTCGGCAAATGTAGTAGACCTTTTCGACAAGTTAGTCGGTAAATTTGGACAGCCGGCAAATTTTAAAAAAAGAGGAATTTTTTTGTTTTTTTTAGTCGGCAAAAGTTGAAATGGCACCACCCCCTTCCCCATCCCCTATGAGACACCTACTCGCGCCAGCCCTGAATGTGTTTATTGGTTGGCTACAAGGTGAAACTATATTAACATTTTAAATTAAATAGATTTTAAGTTTATTCTAAAATTGCAAGGACTTTTTTACTACTTTTTTTTTCTACTTGGAAAATTTCTACTAGAAACTATGACATAAACTGTGACAAGGTGTATGTTACAAAAATTTTATTGTGTCATGGAGCTGCTGTTTTTGGAAAACCAATGATATGAATTCTCTTTAAAAAAGTGTTTTAGATGATATAACTTTTTAATACAAGTTGTACTACATATGGAACACTCTTCTTATTTGAACTTAGTCTACTTAAAACATACGAAATAGGGGCCATCCATATATTACGTACGCACCTAGAAAAGGGGACATGTCCCAAGTTGAGTAACTTGTGTACGAGTGCGTATGGGAGGGGTTTGGGTCCAACAAATGTATTTATGCGAGCTCAAAAGGTGGCATTTTACGTTCACTTGCCAAATAAAAACGTTAACTTTTCCCAATAAAAGGTAAAAGAAAAAGTGATCACATTCGTGTGCGTGAATGGAATTAGGAGAAGGAGGTTAGGGGATCGTTAAAATCTGGAGATTTTTGCGTACGTAATATATGAATGCCCCATTATGAGCTCAAAAAGCATAAGTTTTTATTTACAATGCTCTTCTTAATCACTCTGAAACTTCTCAACATTCTCAACATGAAACTTCTTAATCACTCTGAAACTTCTCAAAACATCTCAAACGTTAACACGCATAAAGGAAAACTTTTAATGTAAAAAGTGTGGGTATATATTTCAGGTTCAATAAAGACCAACAAGCTTCCTCAGATATCTAAACAATAAACAAAGAAAGTTTGTTTTGTATTTTTCCGAAACAGCATTATGCATTAAAAAAATTAGAAAATAGGCATAAAATATCAACAGATCCTAAGGCATTTCAAAAACTATAGACGTGAAGAAATAGCTGATTAAAACCCTATTATGAGAAACACTTTTGTTACAAGTTTGTAACGTTAGGAAAATTTGCTACAGACTTACTTGTAACAGAATTTAAAAATTCAAGAAAAGTATCTGGTGACATTTTTTTAAGTGTTCTTTAAAACCAAAGATGTCTCTTGTTTTCATTAACATGTATTTTGAAATTATGATTTGCTTAACGTATATGAAGTTTTGACCAGTAAAATATTTTATTTGCTAAACTTTGGTCGATATCTAAAATCATTTTAAATAGGCGGGTTAAAAAGTTCTTTTGACAATACTGTTCAATGGCTTTTTTTCAAGATAAAGTTTGTTTGACTTCCATGTTCAATACTTTTCACAATCAATCAAAACCAAAGTCAAACAAAGAGCTATCTCGTTTCATATTAAGTTTGTCTTATTATATTCATCATAATAAGTTTGTCTTACTTTTCTAGGATTTTTCCAGAATCTTGTTAGGTTGGCATTTATTCATTGACACTTGTTTTTATTATTTGCTGAGATTTTTTAATTGTATCGTTAATTGTATCGTTGTAACAATGAGATTTGTTAATTGTATCGTTGTTAATAGTAATAGTCCTGACGTTTGCTGTTTTGGGATTTTAAAAGCATTCGTTAAAATATTTTTATTTAAAAGTTTAGTTACTTTAGTTCAATTTTTTATTTAATTTGAAACCTGTTTCTTTTTTTTTTTCATTATTTGACAAAAAATTTGTTTTAATGAAGTAATGAAGTTTATTATTAAAAATATCAAAATACTTATAAATTGTTTTTATAAATTTATATAAATCGTGACATAGTCTATTTTAATTTTCAGATGTTTTATAAAGCAAACCAATAAATAAAGCATAATGTGTTTTAAAACAAGTTCAAATAAAATTAAATTGACTTTAAACAAATTTAGATTAAATTTGTCGTTTTCATTTAATAAAAAACAACCACCGATTTTTTCGCTGACCAAAACATAATTTAACAGCCACAAATATTTTGTATATATTCACTTTATATTCATTTTTTTTTATTTAACAAAGGTTCTTTATTGTATGTTGAGATAAAATATTTCTCATTTATGCAAAGATTACACCTTTTTGAGGATGGGTTATAGGGTTGACATTTTTTAACAATACTCCAATTGATCATTGGTTTGATGCCTGCTTCCTTAAGTTTCCAGATCTCTTTAGAAAATTCAGTATCATTTTTATACCTGACCAAGTTTATGTGGTTTGCAAACCTGATCTTGAAGGAGTTTTTGCTAATACCAATATAAGATTTCATAGCGTGGTTGACGTTCGCTGGTGTTATAGTAGCTTTGTAAACAATATTTTTAGTTAGACATTGATTTTCTAAAGGACACGTAGCTCTGTCTATACAGTAGATTGGAACAATGCATATCAAGAATGTAACTTTGGACATAAAAAACACTACATATAATATTTTCATAAATATTTCCCTAAAATATTACAATATAGGGGAAAGCGGGGCAACATGGCGAATGGGGCAAGATGGTTTTCATATAACAACTCAACAAAAAATCTTAAAATTGGGTGAAAACAAAACTGTATTTGCATCTTGTATTTTAAAAGACTAATTGGCTTTTTGAAATAATTTTAACGCAATTTTATACACATAAGTTTACTTTTAGCGCCTAAAATTCCTCACTTTCGGTTTCTCATAATGGATGGTGCCCTTCAAGTTTAACTTCTTTAGAAGTAGTTTTTTGCAATTTTTTTTAGTTTAGTTAGAGTTATTGGTAGTTTTAAAATTTTTATAAAATTGGAGGTAAAAATTGCATAATAAGTCATCTTGCCCCGGTCACGTGACCAGATGACAAATTTATGAACTTTTTATTTTAATATTTATTTCAAATTGTTATATTTGCAAACTGAAAATTCATGGAGGAAATGAAAGAATTAAATAAAGCGGGGCAACATGGCGAACGTTTTGAAAGCTCTAAGTTGTTGCAAAACTATAAGTCGTGAAGCCATTATACTTTCTCAGTATTTTAATGTTATTAAATTCTTTCATTGCCTCCATGAATTTTCAGTTTGCAAATATAACAATTTGAAATAAGTTTTAAAATAAAAAGTTCATAAATTTGTCATCTGGTCACGTGACCGGGGCAAAATGACTTATTATGCAATTTTACCTCCAATTTTATAAAAATTTTAAAACTACCAATAACTCTAACTAAACTAACAAAAAATAAACACAAATTGCAAAAAACTACATCTAAAGAAGTTAAACTTGAAGGGTACCATCCATTATGAGAAACCGAAAGTGAGGAATTTTAGGCGCTGAAAGTAAACTTATGTGTATAAAATTGCGTTAAAATTATTTCAAAAAGCCAATTAGTATTTTAAAATACAAGATGCAAATACAGTTTTGTTTTCACCCAATTTTAAAATTTTTTGTTGAGTTGTTATATGAAAACCCATCTTGCCCCATTCGCCATGTTGCCCCGCTTTCCCCTAATAACAAAACCTCAATCGCAGAAAATTTCAACAAGTTTTTTTACTAACATTGGCCCTGACATGGCTTCTAAAATTCAATGTCCGGATAATTCCTTTGATCATATATTACAACATAGTTATTTAAACTTCAATGGACTAAACTATAGAAACGGCAAAAAGTTCATTAAAAATAAATAATGCCCCGGGGATTGACGAGGTTGTAGGAATGTAGTTTTTAATGGGTTTCCAGTGATTAAATTTTTTTTTTTTGAAATTTTAAACCTTTAATTGTTACTTGATCTAAACCAGATTAGCTAAAAATAGAAAAAGCTATACTAAGGCTAAAAACCGGAGACTCATTTACTCTAAACATGTTCAGACCCATCTCAGATCTTCCAGAATTTTCAAAACTTTGAAATGAGTAATTTACAATAAATTATATGCATACCTAAAAATTAACAATATTATTAATGAAAAATAATTCGGTTTTCAAAAGAAACATTAGAATGAACATGCAATTATAGATCTCATAAATAACATAAGTGATTCTTTTGAAATAAAAAATATGTAATTGGAGTCTTTCTTGAATTATCGACACTGTAGATCATTAAATCCTACTTATAAAAATGGAAAATTGAACTAAACTCTAAACCTCTCATCTCATCTCAGAGGTTATGCTCAAGAGACTTTGGGAAAATCTTTGGGAAAACAGCGTTATTACAAAGGGTATGTCTAACAATCCATCACTCATTCATGGGACTGATTTTATTACCTCTCTCCAAGATAAGGAAGAACTATTTGCAAAGAACTTTTCTTCTAACTCGACTCTTGAAACTTATGACCATTCTTTTCCTTTCATTCCAATTAAACAGGTTACCCCATTTTTAGACATTGAAATTCTTCCAGCTTCTGTTGCTTAAGTCATATACCAATTAAACCTTTCTCTGACTTGTGGTCCAGACAACATTCCTGTCATACTCTTACAAAGTTGTTATTTAGAACT